TTGTGGAATGAGATTGTTTTGGGGGTTAATTCAATTCAGAAGAGAGGGATAGTGAAAAAAAAAGAGAATGTTCAGGTGCTACTGTATGCCAGTGAAAGTAGGAAACCCACTAACAAAGTGGAACAAGAGGTCAATTGCAATCGAAAACAAATGTCTGAGGGAAATGTTAAACATAAAATGTGAGGAATTCAAGAGATTTGAAGAAATAAGAGAAATGTCTGGACAGCCACTGCTATCAACAGTTATAAGACAGAGAAGATGGTGCTATGTTGGACACATTATGGGAGAAGATGGTGCTATGTTGGACACATTATGGGAGAAGATGGTGCTATGTTGGACACATTATGGGAGAACATGGTGCTATGTTGGACACATTATGGGAGAAAAGATGACCAGGGAAATGCCAAACAGGCACTGAAGTTGGAAATAGAGGGATTGAGGAAACGATGATGATGACCCAGGGAAACCCTGAAGAGAATAAGGAGGAGAGAGACCAAAGAAGCTGTACCGTATTCCATCCATGATATCCAAGTGATTACAGGATAGAAGGGAGTGGGGAAATAGACTGCCAGTCTGATATGACATTTGTGTTCACATCATAGGGCAATGAATGAAAGAGAAGTGTGAAAGAAGGTTTGGCAATCTTGGCTGGTAAGTTGTAATTGTTTGCAGAATTTACAGATGGCAACGAGATAAGTGGAGTTTTATAGATAACAGTTGATTGAAAAAAATAAAGATTTGTGAGATTACATAAGTGTCTTATGTGTTGATTGAGATGTGTTGGATAGTTGTCTTATGTTTTGATTGAGATGTGTTGGATATGTGTCTTATGTTTTGATTGAGATGTGTTGGATCGGTGTCTTATGTTTTGATTGAGATGTGTTGGATATGTGTCTTATGTTTTGATTGAGATGTGTTGGATATGTGTCTTATGTTTTGATTGAGATGTGTTGGATCGGTGTCTTATGTTTTGATTGAGATGTGTTGGATCGGTGTCTTATGTTTTGATTGAGATGTGTTGGATATGTGTCTTATGTTTTGATTGAGATGTGTTGGATCGGTGTCTTATGTTTTGATTGAGATGTGTTGGATAGTTGTCTTATGTGTTGATTGAGATGTGTTGGAGAGGTGTCTTATGTGTTGATAGAGATGTGTTGGAGAGGTGTCTTATGTGTTGATTGAGATGTGTTGGAGAGGTATCTTATGTGTTGATAGAGATGTGTTGGAGAGGTGTCTTATGTGTTGATAGAGATGTGTTGGAGAGGTGTCTTATGTGTTGATTGAGATGTGTTGGAGAGGTGTCTTATGTGTTGATAGAGATGTGTTGGAGAGGTGTCTTATGTGTTGATAGAGATGTGTTGGAGAGGTGTCTTATGTGTTGATTGAGATGTGTTGGAGAGGTGTCTTATGTGTTGATAGAGATGTGTTGATAGAGATGTGTTGATTGAGATGTGTTGGAGAGGTGTCTTATGTGTTGATAGAGATGTGTTGGAGAGGTGTCTTATGTGTTGATTGAGATGTGTTGGAGAGGTGTCTTATGTGTTGATTGAGATGTGTTGGAGAGGTGTCGTGTGTGTTGATTGAGATGTGTTGGAGAGGTGTCTTGACAGAAGCGTTTGTTTCATGCAAAACATTGAAAAGAAGAGAATACATGGAGTGTATAAGGGAAAATGAGCCAATAATGGGAGCAACAGAAAATTTTAAACCTAGGATGGGAAACAACAACAGCATGACAAATGGGAAAGACCAGAATACATGGAGTGTATAATGGGAGTCGGTAGAACAATGGCAGACAACAACATGACATTGCGATAACTCACCCAGACTATACTGCAGTTACTACCTAACTATTTTGTGGTACCCCCAGTTTAACTGTCATGTTTGGTTCAACGGGGTTACCAGGACTTACAGATGCAAATCTGGAGGTAAGTAAAGTAAAGATCCCTTCTTACTCCTTAGGCGCATCGGGCATAAGGGAAGAGCACCCACATTTTTCAGACCATCGGCACTAGTTGGGCAATGCCTAAGCCATGGACGCCGCAAAAAATCTGGAAGGAATGTATTTCAAAAAATTTTTTTTATTAAGATAACAAAGAAGAATACAATGGGGAGAAAGAGATCGAGGCACTCGTTGGGAAACAGAAGGAGCATCTGGGAAGCAATAGAACAATGACAACGGATGTTATTGTCCTACAATACGAGGAACATGTAAAGGTGTTATTCCAAACTAGAAATAGAGCTATTCATCTTCACATTATACGACCTTGACTCCCAGGTCGACCCAGCCTTAAGTGGGTAGCAGGTGTAGTTCTGGGAAGTGAAGGCGGTCGGCGTGGTGCTAACCCCATCACCCACCAAGTGCCGATTGGTTTATAAAAATTTATGTCTAGCCGTTTATTCTCAATACGCCTAAAGGCTTGGAAAAGGGTCCTTTAATTTACATTTGTATCTTCACAAAATCATAACCCCGAATAACAAATGAGCGCTGCAGATAGGAAGCCTTCTTCAGCATATAAAATAAACGGACAATACTACATTTACACCACACACACAAAACAACACACAAGATCGCTAATCTGCAAGCAGAGGCCTCTCGCAGAAAGAGCCACAACGTCTATGGGACATCCACATGGAAGCTTACCTCCCTCAGAAGATGTGAGAACAACTATTGTTGCTCACAAGTGACCAGCTGATGAAGTATATTGTTTGTTTTAGTATCCAGAAGCCATGAGTTGTTAACCCTTAGGCTCGGTATTATGGATATCGCAACCTTTCGGCCTTGATTCCATTGTAAATACCGTAAATCTGGGAGAAATGTGGCTTTTCTGCCTACCCCCGGGAGTGAACCCGGACCACAAGGAGTTCGTCACCCTCTCACCGCGCAATCCGGTTTAGCCAACTACGCTAGAGAGACGGGCTAATGAAGTTTATATAAAACCACTCTCCCCTTGGCGGTGATTTCCCCTGCTGAAGCTTCTTGTTACTCTGCTTCTTGTACACATCGATGGAAAGTACTAGTTGTTTGACACTTCTGAATTTCAGTCTCCAGCCTAAAACATAGCTAAGAACAAAAGAAAATGATGCAAAAAATTACAGAAAGAAAAAAAACCACGGTAGTAATAGTAGTATATAAGGACATCACACAAGCGATAAACACCCGATGTCGCAAAGTGCCATCATGCGGATGAGGATCACCCGTGAAGAGGTCCCAGAAACCGCGTTCAGCCATTTGACCATATTTATGGCCGGGCTATATTGCGGCCCCTGGAAAAAGCCCGAGTAGGGCTTCAAAATAACGAAAAATTGCATCCCACGAGGGATGACTTATTCTATAAAACCACGGCTGTACTGCGATCCGATGTTCCTTGGTTATCAGGAATCAAATCTGGCACAAGAAAATAGCATTAAGGACCACAGAGTACAGAAAACTGCAACATGAAACATTTAATAAGAACTCGAGAGTAACTGGAGACGAGCAAAACTGCATCCCCGGTAAACAAAGGGCATAACGGAGACATCAAGAGAAGTCGAATCCCCGCCATGGCTCAGTATAGAACTCTAGTGCTCTCCTAGTAGTAGAGGTCAAAGTTCGTTGCATATCCTTTACAGGACGTTGCAGAACCAGCCCCAGCATTTTAAGCTGTTGTGGCTTTTCGAGGCAAATTTTACCTGCAGTAGTTTTACATAGCTCCCTGAACGGTCAGCTGTCGAACCCAAAACAAGACAGATCGTCCGCACCTGGGATCGAACCCAGCACACCGGCATTACGAAGCGTGTTCGCAACGCCTAAGCTACAGACGCAGACGGTTTTAGAGGACTAATACTTCTTCTTCTTCTTCTTCTGCGTTCGACATCAGTCATGCTAAACATTGAGTCCCGTCTGGGTCACAAATAGGATTGTGCGTTCAAGGTCGCCACCGGTCCCCCATAGCTTCTCTTTCAATGTGGCTCCTTTGGGCCAGATCCACAGTCTTTGCTGGGAGAGGTTAGGGCAGTACTGCAGTATGTGCTCAGGGGTCTGTCTTTCTGCTCCACAATCACAGGCAGTAGATTCTTTTATGCCTATCCTGTACAGATGTGCTCAAAGACCACAGTGTCCAGTCCGAAGTCTAAAAATTATTGTTTATTCTTTCCTGTTGAGTTTGTTTATGCTCTCACTCTCTGGTCTGTAATCTCCATTCTGCTTTCTCCACTCCCGCTTGAAAGACTGCTTTAGCGCTGTTTTGGTTTCCTTGAAGCTGTGTGGTGGATGAGGTTGTGGAAGATTACTCCTAGCTTTTGCAGGACCAATAGGACCAATAAGAAACACAGAAACTGAACAAGGGGAACAATCAAGACCTCCCAAGTTATCAGACTCATGTATGCACTGTTTCGGAACTGCGGTAATGTAGTGTCTAGACGCTCGGCAACGGATCCGAAAATCGTGGGTTCGAATCCGTGGACCCCCAACATGCCACAATTCGACATTGGCTCAGTGGTCGTCCAGGGACTAAAATGGATACTAGGTGGCACCACTGGCCTGCTGTTCACTATCGCCCACTGAATGCCAGTTGGTCGATACAAATCTGAGATGAGAACCCCATCCCGTTGTTCCAGTCCAGTTGTATGAAAGATATCGGTTGCTCGCTGCAGACGCGACCATACAGTTTAAAATGATGAACCGCAACGGTATATGTATTAACACATTCACAGTATGATATGTAACATGCAGAACTTGTACTGAGCCTACACCCGCGCCCCCTTTTCCTTCCTCTTCAAGCTTTCACCAACAAATGACAACAAACAGATAAGACAACATGGTACATCCTGGTACACAACACGTCTAGAATTTCTCACAAATAGGTTCGTGACCCGCCATACAATTTTACGGTAATTAATACCCTAGGGGGCGTGTCAGAGCCATGTTCCTTCACTCCAGCTATGATTTACCGTAAGGGTCACTATTACTGGAAAACAACTTCTAACAGTTTGGGCTGACGAATTTCTCACAAAGTTCGACCATGAACAACAATCGTTGGAGTTGTGTTTATCTTTTGGTTATTTTATTTGGTGAGTAAATGAAATTTTTTTCTAACAAAGTACCATTATCATCATCATAATAATTAATATTATCCCCCGTGTGGGTTCCGGGGCCCCATTGTAGGGGAAAACAAGAATAGAACCACTGCCTCCCCAAAAGCATGTCGTAAGAGTCGACTAATTGGAGAGCTTCCTTTGAAGTCGCAGTGCATCTACCGGAGAGGCAAGGAACCAACAGTCTGTATTCAAGAGAATTAGATCTGTAAAAGTTTATGTCAGTTAACAGTTTATTCATAAACTGTTAACTGGGAGAGCTTTAAGTCACAGTAACTGCCTTGCCCACTCAAAGTAGTAGTAGTTGTTGTTGGGCGGCTACACCGTAGTGCTGTCATGCCGGAGACCGCCGGTAAGGTGATGGCGTTTTTCTGTCGGGGAGCGACATACAAATAAGCAGATATGTAAAACAGACCTGCACGCAAAACTTAAATTCTGGATAAAGACCAAATTCTAGAAGTGGACGAACGACCGTAATTTTTCGCTGGAGTTTACAGCTGGTGAACGCTAAGAAGAAAAAGAAACTTCCAGAGATTCACAAATAAAACCTTCTTATTCTTCGTCTTCTTCCCTTTTCACCAGCTGTAAACTCTGGCGATAAGTTCTGGTTGTTCGTCCACTTCTGGACAGCAGTCCTGTTCCAGAACCTGAATGTTGCGTGTGCATCCGTTTTACAGATCTGACTCATTTGTAAACAAACTATACAACTATGCTTGTGTGATTCTCTCGGTGCAAAACAAACTATACACATTTCTTCAACAGCAAGAACGTCTGCAGTCTACAAGAGATGGCTACCGGACACCAACTTTGATAACCCGGATAACTGGAATTTGAAGAGAACTCCCTGCGGAAATGACGTGGCCATAATTCCAGACGACAGCCCAATCGTCTACGTGCAACTTAATACCTCCATTAAAGAACTTGTAAGTTTGGAAATAAGACACATATTTGTGTACTTAGTAGTAATAGTTGTAGTATAGTTCTATTAGGGGTAAGTGGTAGCAATAGCAGCATCAGCCAAACTAGCAGCAGCAGGAGAAGCTGTAGCATTAGTTTTAGTGGTCGCAGCAGTTGTAGTGGTAGTAGTTGTAGTGTTGGCAGCAGTAGCAACAACAACAGCAGTAGTAGGAGTAGCAGTAGAAGTAACAGCAGTAATAGTAGTAGTAGTAGCAGCAGTTGAAGTAACAGCAGTAATAGTAGCAGTAGTAGCAGCAGTAGAAGTAACAGCAGTAATAGTAGTAGTAGCAGCAGCAGTAAAAGTAACAGCAGTAGTAGTAGCAGCAGTAGAAGTAACAGCAGTAATAGTAGTAGCAGCAGAAATATTAGTACCAGCAGCAGTAGTAGTAGTTGCAGCAACAATGGTAGTAGTAGTAGTAGCAGCAGCAGCAGTAATACTTTTTGTTGTTGTTGTTGTTGTAGCATTGTTCCTCTGTTTAACCCTCAGGGTTAAAGTGGGATATACAGAGAGCATATTTTCAATGCATAATTTTGTTTTTTGCTATATCGTATAATTATTTATTTTAGACACTGAAGTAAATTGTAAAATTATTAATATTGTTATTATTATTTCGCACTAAGTGAAATCTACGCCTTGCCGTGGTGAGGGAGCTTGTGTTTCTCAACGACCCTGCAGGTGATATCTGCAGTAGTGAACCTCAGGGGCTTGGAAAGCTGAAGAAGAATAAGAAGATTATTTGGCGCCAAATGAGAAGACGGATTAAAGAAATTATACGTCCACACGAAATGGCAATAATCGATGCTGCCCACCAAGCACAGAACCTCCCCATGAGGCATAACGACAGCACTGGAAGTTGATTATTGCTAGTATTTGAAATAATAAACGATATCTTGCTGTACGTGCGGTTAAAATTCTGACTGAATATTCCGTGAGCCTGGTTATATATCCAGGGCCGTAACATCGACTTTAAGGGCCATTACAACAGAACTACAGAGGTCGTTCCAATAAAGGTAAAGTCGGGAGATGTGAACCAGCGTCATTGCACACGGTTGTAAACCATAAGTGCGCTGCCACCAGTACGGACAGCTGAAAAGAAACTGTCCTCCTGTGTCGCCGTCCTCACTCAACTCCGTAGCTACAGCGACGTTCCTCCATTTACCTTAGAGTGTTATCTCTGGTACCACTTACTTAGAAGCTGGGTGAACCCCCGGGAGCCGCCAGGTTTAGAACACCGGTTGTGGGCTGCAGCCAGTTGCAGCTGGATTTGAAATCGAGTCTCCTATCGACTGGTCGTTCCAAAGTGTGTTTGCCCAAGGGCCTTACTTTGAATGTAATACAGATTATATCTGCACGTTGATTATTTCAATTTTTATGGAATTAGTCTCATTTCTTAATTGTTGGACCTTGTATAAAGAAACAATGAGAATCTCAAGCAAGTACACGAACATGACTGACATGATTGTCTCACTTGATTGTTTTATATGATTGTTTGACTTGATTGTTTGGCATGATTGTTTGACTTGATTGTTTAGATTGATTGTTTAGATTGATTGTCTGACTTGATTGTCAGACATGATTGTCTAACGTGATTGTTTGACTTGATTGTTGCAGCACTTGCCCAAGAACGGTGAGCTGATCTTGGGACGAAACATGGCTCTGGGATTCACAGAAACGGCAGTCGCCGGATGTGAGGAAGCCAGTGGAGGTACACGCTTGTGATCTCTGTCCAGGTCTTGGTGAGGCCCTTAGCTCTATAAAAACCTGAGGACCCTGCAGTTTAAAAATCCACCAGCTACACACAGAAAACTTTAAAATGTATACACGGCTTTTAAATATATGGATTAGACAAGTGTCATTTCATTTCTATTAAAAGAAATAATAAAGATTGTTTGCACAGTCACCTGAATTATATTGTGTAATAATCTTAAAGGCTCTATAATTACAACTCTAAACATGGTTTAAAATTGATTTCCTAGACGTAAAAAAAAAAAGATGAAAACCTTATTACAGGTTTTCGAAAACAGTCTTACGACGAATCTTTGGACCCATCAAAGATGCTAACAGCGGGGAATGGAGAGTGAGAAGCAATAACGAAATTGTTAATCTGTTTAAATAATCATTGATCACTGGCATAATGAGAGCTAATAGACTGAAATGGTTGAGGCATATTGAAAGAATGTCAGATGACAGAGAAGTTAAAACTGTATACACACGGGAGATGACAGGTCGTAGACCACGAGGGAGACCAAGAAGAACATGGAGAGATAATGTCCAGACAGACCTGCAAACACTTGTTGTCACCAACTGGAAAGAGAAGGCCAGCTTGAGGGATGAGTGGAGGCGAGTGATATCTGCAGCAGTGAACCTCAAGGGCTCGGAATGCTGAAGAAGAAGAAGAAGAAGAAGAAGAAGAAGAAGAAGAAGAAGAAGAAGAAGAAGAAGAAGAAGAAGAAGAAGAAGAAGAAGAAGAAGAAGAAGAAGAAGAAGAAGAGATTAACTGATTAGGTCATCAATAGATATGCTGTGTAAAATGTTGCCCTTATACATAAACATGATGCTAAGTGTAGATAATTTTTCTAGAGACACAATTGTTCTCTGTTCATATTTTATTCTCTTGAGTTGTGGAAAGAAAAAGAGTTCTTTTTTTTAGGCATCTGCGGATTTTAAAGCACTAAACTGTAAACTATTAGTCTGTCTGTCTGTCTGTCTGTCTGTCTGTCTGTCTGTCTGTCTGTCTATCTGTCTGTCTGTCTGTCTGTCTGTCTGTCTGTCTGTCTGTCTGTCTATCTATCTATCTACCTACCTACCTACCTACCTCTATCTACCTATCTATCTATCTATCTATCTATCTATCTATCTATCTATCTATCTATCTATCTATCTATCTATCTATCTATCTATCTATCTATCTATCTATCTATCTATCTATCTATCTATCTATCTATCTATCTATCTATCTATCTATCTATCTATCTATCTACCTACCTACCTATCTATCTATCTATCTATCTATCTATCTATCTATATCTATCTATCTATCTATCTATCTATCTATCTATCTATCTATCTATCTATCTATCTATCTATCTATCTATCTATCTATCTATCTATCTATCTATCTATCTATCTATCTATCTATCTATCTATCTATCTATCTATCTATCTATCTATCTATCTATCTATCTATCTATCTATCTATCTATCTATCTATCTATCTATCTATCTATCTATCTATCTATTTATCTATCTATCTATCTATCTATCTATCTATCTGGGTGTCTGTCTGTCTACCTACCTATATGTCTGTCTGAATGTCTGTCTCTCTGTTTACCTATCCGTCTGTCTGTGTCTGTATGTCTGACTGTCTGTATGTCTGTCTTTCTGTTTATCTGTCCGTCCATCCATTTGTCTTCTGTCCGTTAGTCTGTTGTTTATACCGTCCATCTGTCCGTCCGTCTGTCTATCTATCGTCCGTCTGTCTGTCTATCTATCTATCTGTCTGTCTTCTGTGTGTCCGTCTGTCTGTCTTTTTATCGATCTACATATCTAGCTACCCTACTTATATGCCTGCACCTGTTTACCTCTGTCCCTCTATCATTTCACTTACCTGTATGTCTCCCCGTTTGTCCTTTCTGTCTGTTCTTCAGCGTGTCTATCAGTTTGTGTTATTCACCGTCACAAGGCCTGTTCGACAAAAGTCATACAAGACAAAAATATAATTTGTTTTTTCTTCACGTTACTAACAAATTGTCACCCAAAACCTATACTTTCTGCTAGACCTGGAGTTCACAGCCGTCAACCCCAAACCCTGGCTGAACCCCGACAACTGGTGTATGGCGCCCACAGAACGGGGCGCACCTGCGATCGTACTCAGTCTATCCTGGACGTCCAGAAGGTTCCATGTAGTTATGATGACGTCATTTTCCCGCGCGACCACGCCTACTTCGTGGACCTAACGGAAGACACCCCGATGTTGTCCGTGAAAACTTTGAAAATATCAGGGACCGTAAGTTGTCAGCTAAAAAGATTTTGTAGGCAGTTTGCTACACGTTCTTTGTTTATCCGTTCACTACGTTTTAAAGTGATAAGTTAAGTTAGTTGCCTATCTTTTACAGGACGTTGCAGAACCAACCCCAGCATTTTCTGTGTGTGTGGCTGTTGTGGTTTTTCTAGGTAAATTAACGTCCAGTAGTTTGCTACTGGACGGTCGGCTTCTTCATTCCACTGTCGAAACCAACGCAAAACGCACAGACGACTTTAAATTGATATGAGTGTTATATATTCACCACGTTTTAAATTTATGTGAGCGTGAGATATTCATCACATTTTAAAATGAAATGAACCTCAAACATTCACCAAATTTCAAAGCGATATGAGCGCCAGACATTTACCACATTTTAAAGTGATAATACGTGGACGTTATGGCAATGTAGCCTTTATCAGCACATATATAAATCAAACAAAACCAAACAAATACACAAAATCACTCAACTGATATATCCCGAAGCAGCCATGTTGATGTTCCTGCAAGTGAAATGACGAGACACGTTGGACTAGAGAATGAATAGCCGGGGAATGCTAGGAGCCGTAACTCGAGAATTTTAGATGAACCTACATTGACAGTTCAGTTCCCTAGGTGTTACCTATTTTTGTAATCGCCATCTGTGAAGTTGATATAACATATACTGCTAAAACGTGTCTTATTGTGGGTACTGTTTTCCACATTACATCTCTATTCACAATCGATTCTACTTGTTAAATTGCTTACAGTAAACAGTATTAGGATGAAGCACTTGCATATCAAGAAATGACAATCATGAATTGTGAAACAACTATATTCGAATATCTTCGACCGTTAAGGAACATATGCTCAGATAAAAATACTCGTTCTTCAATAGTTGACACCGTTATAGCTAAGACTTGTTTTTAAAACACTGGTATATAGCAGTGACATTCCAAACTAACGGTTACGCGGCACTTAAAACCTGACGTAATATACTAATTTAATTACGGTGCGCAAATAATTTATTTCAACAAGTCAACACTCATTAAACCTACGTCAAAAATTCACTACATTTCAAACTGATATGAGAGTCAGTTTGCTGTATGTTTTTATTTCTCCAGTCACCACATTTTATAGTCATAATATGAGCGTCAGTCTGCTGCGCCTGTTTATTTCTCCAGACATTTCCGGTATTTTAAAGTGACATAAGTGTCATTGATTCAAAACACCACCACATTTTAAAGTGACATAAGTGTCATTGATTCAAAACACCACCACATTTTAAAGTGACGTAAGTGTCATTGATTCAAAACACCACCACATTTTAAAGTGATATGAGCGTCAGACATTCACAACATTACAAATTGATATGAGCATAAGACATTTACAACATTACAAAGTGATATGAGCATAAGACATTTACAACATTACAAAGTGATATGAGCATAAGACATTTACAACATTACAAAGTGATATGAGCATAAGACATTTACAACATTACAAATTGATATAAGCATAAGACATTTACAACATTACAAAGTGATATGAGCATAAGACATTTACAACATTACAAAGTGATATGAGCGTCAGACATTCACAACATTACAAAGTGATATGAGCATAAGACATTTACAACATTACAAAGTGATATGAGCATAAGACATTTACAACATTACAAATTGATATAAGCATAAGACATTTACAACATTACAAAGTGATATGAGCGTCAGACATTCACAACATTACAAAGTGATATGAGCATAAGACATTTACAACATTACAAGTGATATGAGTATAAGACATTTACAACATTACAAAGTGATATGAGCGTCAGACATTCACAACATTACAAAGTGATATTAACTGCTGCATCTGTCTGTCTCCCGCAGACATTCACCACATACTCGTTCACCAACTACTTGAACAGCGCCGAGGGGGAGAAGATGTTTCGTTGGTCACCCTCGGGTAGCAGGGTGGATCGCGTCAACATTACCCGCACAAACTGTGAGGATCCCAGAGGATGTGCGTGCGGGAATGACAGACCCCAGGTGATTTCTCTGGTTGTTTGCGTGGGCTGTGTGTGTGTGTGGGTGTGTGTGTGTGTGTGTGTGGGTGTTTGTGTGCGTGTGTATGTATGACTGTGTGTGGGGGGGGGGGGTCTGCGTGTGAAAGTGTGTGTTTGTGTTTGTGTGTGAAAAAGTGAGGTGGGGGAAGGGTGTTGGGTAGACGCCAGGTAATGTCTCGTTTTATTTACATGGGTTGTGTGAAAGCGTGTATGCGTGAGACAAACATGTAAACGTGACATTTAGACAGACAACTATAGGTAGGCAGACAGAAGGATAAGTGGACAGATGGAGAAGTAAGCATATAGGTAGACAGACAAATATGTGGACCGACAGACACACAAAAGGAATTACTGATAGGCAAAATGACCGACCGACAGATAGATGTATTTCGTCTTTAAAG